CACATCCACCAGCCTCGTAAATGCTACCAAGCAAAACTGAAACAAAAAACCATGCAGCACAAATTCCACTTTCTTCATGAATGTTTCTCTCCACGTCCCAGTCAAGAGTATTTTTCTGCCTTCTGTGGACGCCTAGAGATATTAAGGCTAGAGGGTAGGAACGTCATCCTGTATGTTGCATGTCCTTAGGAGAGTGACTTGCAAAGAGCAGTTGATACAAGTTTGTTCAATGAAACCAGTTTTACCTCCTGTCGCAAGTATTTCAACCGCTCAGTATTACAGCTTTGTACATTCGTCCCAGGGGGAATTATTCTTTACCACCCAGAAATTGTGAATTGCATTTCAGATGAAAGCTTTTGATTAAAACAGGCCTTGCTGGCAAAAGCCCCTCATGTCACTAGCTGTGAGTGGTGCCAGAATGCGAAAATGAGCCGGGTCCCATCCGGCTTTCAGATTTCAATAAACATCAATACTCATATGTTTAAAACGGAAGCAAAATCCTTCAAAAGATCTTAAACTGTGCTGGAGTGAGGATGAAATACACTGCTGATCTGAGAGCTGGCATGGCAGACAGAATTTCTCAGCCCTTTGATCAGTGCCGAAATGGCTGAAAGTCTCACAATGGAATGTAACTGGGTAGGTTATGCAGTCAGATCCCTCCTTTCATGGATGAGGAAACTGAGACTCAGGCAGGTCCGGGGATGGGACCAGCGACTTCCCACCAGGTCGGCTGGGGTGGTCGGGGCATACATACTCCTGACTCTTGATGGGACTGCAGAGATCCCGAGTTAATCCCAATCCCGGTGCTGAAGGAGCCACCAATGAGCTTTGAGCACAAAGCGCTGTGATCCAAGTTGTAGGAGGAACAGCCAGAAGATCATGTTCAAGGCTAGACAGAAGCAGAAAACAGGGGAGGGGGAGACTCTGGGCCGGGAGGGGTGACAATGGCATGTGCGCTTTAGGGGACACACAGGGGAGAGAACATTTTCTAGAAATAATTTGTTTAAGAAACTACTTTTTTTTTCAGTTAATGATTTTTTATAGTTTATTATCAAGTTGGTTTCCATATAACATCCAGCGCTCATCCCAACAAGTGCCCTCCTTCATGCCCATCACCCATTTTCCCCTCTCCTCCACCCTTATCAACTCTCAGTTTGTTCTCAGTATTTAAGAGTCTCTTATGGTTTGCCTCCCTCCCTCTCCGTAACTAGTTTATCCCCTTCCCCTCCCCCATGGTCCTCTGTTAAGGAGAAACTACTTTCAAAGAAATTAAAGAATATTAGTCCTTGCTATTCATTTTTATACTTTTCCAGTGGTTCCTGCCCGATGGTCCCTTGGGGCAAGAAGACATAAGGAAATGGAGTTCTTGTCCACCACAGGGAAGATGTGGCTCCTTTCATCCATCTCAGAGGAGGAAACAGAAAGACCTGACTACCCAAAATAGAATACATTCACACTTTGGACTATCATGCAGCTAGGAAAAGACCGAGGTAGAGCTTATGCAGTGGTGTGCCAGCATTTAAACACCCAGGTAATTCTGCGAATAATCCAAGTCAGTGAACAGCCTTGTAATACCAGCCCACTTATTTATTTTTTTTAATTTTTAAAAACATTTTTTATTTATTTCTGAGAGAGAGAGACAGAATGAGCAAGGGAGGGTCAGAGACAGAGGGAGACACAGAATCTGAAACAAGCTCCAGGCTCTGAGCTAGCTGTCAACACAGAGCCCGATGTGGGGCTTGAACCCACGAACGGTGAGATCATGACCTGAGCCAAAGTTGGATGCTTAACCGACTGAGCCACCCAGGTGCCCCAGCCAACCCACTTATTTAAAAAACAAATGGGCCAATGGTCAGCAGGTATACAGCCCTGTGTTCATAAATACAAAGGCATCTCCCTTGAGTCATCTCCACAGGAAAAGGGAGCATGACCTTGCCAGTCTATATCTGTCTATACTGTTCAAACATTTGCCAACGAGGATGTACTTCTGGGATATTTTTTTTAAAAATAGGTTGAAAGCATGCTTTCTCTACCAATTATGATTGTACTGCAGACAAAAAGGACATTTCTACCCTATTTTCTTGGCTTGTGGAGGTAAGCAAAAGCTACAGTGAGAAAGTTTGGGGAAGTCATGTCTTTTAAAGGGTCAAGAGGAGCCGGTCCGGGGGGATGGGGTGAACCCTCGTGCGGCAAAGCATACAGCTGCTGTCAGGGCAACAGGGCAGCACACCACAGCCGGGGGGCCTCAAAACACCACACGTATACCTGATATTTTCCTGCAGGGACCCAGCCAGTGACTCTAATATGTGGGTTGTAAGAATGTATCACACAGTCTACTGTCCTGTTTAATCAACAGTGTCTGTGTGTCTGTTTCCCTTCTTGATTTTTTCGTAATAAAAGTCTTTCCGTTTTTTTTTTTTTTTTTACAAATAGTTTATTGTCAAATTAGTTTCCACATAACACTCAGTGCTCATCCCCACAAGTGTCCTCCTCCATGCCCATCCCCCCCTCCCCCCCACATCCATCAGTCCTCAGTTTTTGTCAGCATTCAAGAGTCTCTCATGGTTTGCCTCTCTCCCTTTCCCCCACCATTTCCGCCCTTCTTCTCCCCCTTGGTCCTCCGTCAAGTTCCTCCTAATCCTCCTATACGTGCAAACATATGATATTTGTCCTTCTCTGCCTGACTTATTTCGCTCAGCATAACACCCTCAAGGTCCATCCATGTTGCTACACATGGCCAGATTTCACTGTTTCTCATTGCCATGTAGTATTCCATGGTATAGATAAACCACATCTTCTTGATCCATTCATCTGTTGATGGACACTTAGGCTCTTTCCATGTTTTAGCTATAGTGGAGAGTGCTGCTATGAACATTGGGGTTAAAAGTCTTTCCTTTGAATTAAGTTGATTTTCCTTAACAGATCAAATGAGACAAACTTTCCATAGTAAGCAGACTCCTCTGACTCCAAGAGTGGTTAAAAGTGACATTAAATTTTTCCCCTCATTCTCCTTTCCATTCTTTTCTTTCACTTATCGAAATAATTTGAGGTTTCACTGGTCTGTTTTATTTTTGTTTTGAAAATTACTTGGGCTTCTAAAGAAAAAGCGATCCAGCAATTAGATAATCAATTATTTTTAAGATTGATTAAGGATGGCCTGGGGACCACAATTTTATTGTAAACTCAAGCTACAGAAAAGCCACCGACTAACTTGAAGCTGTGGAAATATTGTTAGTATAGATCCCAACTAATACTGAATGTGTCCCCTTTTAAAATGAGAAAATAACCTTCAGCTCCTTTAAAATGTAGAGTTTGGCATTTTACTAAATTTCATAGGGAGAAAATGTAATGAGTCAATAAACCCAATTTGGAGGCTGGTTATTGTCACATAAATTAATTTGCCTGCTAAATGATCAGATTCACATCCACCTTTTTCCCCACCATCTGCCTCACAACAAAGTTGGCATTGTAATCCTTTGAGGACGAACTATAAAAATGTCATTACTTAAAGGCTTATTATCCACCAAGTCATGTTAAACTCCAATTTCCCCGTGCTTGCTAGCTAACCAGGTAAAGAACAGAGTTTAGATTTTTTTCCCCCCAAAAAACTGTATACAGCAGTGCTATGCCTCGAGGTGTTTCTTTTTATTGGGCTATTGTCCAAAAGAGCAGTGCCGCCATATGACCTTGGACTCCTGCTTGGCAAGCCACCCCCATTTAGTGGGGAGATGGCATGCCACATTTCCATGGCTCAGCTTTGACTTGTCTCTCCAAACACTTGTGATCTGTGAAATCTCTCCTGACTGTCACACTGAGTGATCCCATCCCATTTCTCTGCACAATCAGGCACCTGGCAGGCTTTGCCAAACAGAATGCTGGTCAGGGAGGGGTGTGCGGGAGCCAGAGTTTTGCTCTAGCCAAGTTCTAAATATGACCCTGATGGAATCCAAAGGCCAAGATAATCCTGACCAGGGTCTTCATACAATCCTTGTTTGATGGTACAAGGAGAAATACACTCAGTAGGGGAAAAAAATGGTTGATATAAAAGAACTGTTTAATATTTAAAAGTTTTTAAAAAGTCAGAAACCAAATCCAGGGTCACTAGTAATAGCCATTTTTTAAAAAATAGCTAAGCTACAACACCCAGTGGTAGGTAATGTTTTTGCGGTTTTATTTTTTGCTTTTTCATTTGTCTTCTCTAGCAGTTAGGGTAGCATTAAATACACCATTCTGTGCTGTATAACTCCCACTGCTTAAGCTTCACCATAATGATATAATGTGGATTTCTTGTTTGATGACTCAAATTTTTTTGGAACTATGCGACATCTAGATAATTGAAGCTATTCAAAAAATGGCTGATAATTATATTACTTGAGGAAAGAATAGTGGGGGATATATTTTGACCTCAACTTTTCAAAAATATATTATTAATCCACTAAAAAGTTTGAGAATTTACTCTATGTTAAATATACAAAAACATACACAAGTGAAAAAGAGATGGCCCATGCCCATAGGGCTCCGTGTCTAGACTCTAATAGGAAAATCAGAAAAGTAACAAGTAATCTACTCTAGTATGTAACACAAGAAAATATTATGTCAGGCACAGTAGAGGGACAAAGTAAGAGTATTGTGGAAGGCCTCCCAGTTACAGGTCCCCAGGCAGGAGGGTCCACATGGAGCCTGCAGCTGGGCCTAGCATGGAATGTGACTGGCCAGATGCAGGCAGGAATTCAGTTCTCACGTGTTTCAAATGTCATGCAATTTCAAATATCATGTGAGTTCTGGAAAGCACGTGCATTCCAACAGAATCAGAGCAAATGTGTTGGGACCACGGTGAAATTTGCACTGTGGACACCAGAGGAGCGTGCTATGGGTCAGTCCAGGAGCAGACTCTGAGTCAGAGTCACACAGCAGTAGCAGGGACTCACACAAGTGTGGGTTCAGGTGATGAGGAAGGACCGTGGTTAGCCATCGGTGAGGCTAAGACAAACAGCGCAGAAGGGAGAGGTCAACTGACTGCTAGACGATTGTCAATGACAATTCACCACAACCATTGGGATGAATATCCACGTCTGGTACAAGCAGAAAGAATGGAAAACAGTGAGACACGCTGATTACACAATTTACCTGAAGGACACGCTGTTACCTTCGTGGAGGAGAGGTAAGGAGATCTTGCTATTCCGACAGCATGAAGATGAAGCAGAAGAAAAAAGACAGAAATCCAGTCATCAATGATTGCTCACCCATCCAGAGAAGCACTGGGGAAAGTAGAATGAGAAAGGAAAGGGGTGAGTGGGTTTGAGTTTTAATTTTAAAATTTGGGTTAGAAAGTGGTGAAGAGACAGACAAAACATGGAAACATGCTAAATATGTTGGTGGCAGTGAGAATGGGAGGGATCCAGAGGTCGGTTAGGAAAGGAAGATGGTGACAAGGGAACAGAGGACAAGAAGTAGACACCCATATGTAACACCATCACCCACACCCATAGAGAAACTTCTAGTCTCAAGGAGGGAGGCAGCCCAGGCCGCAGAGGGTGCTCATCCCTCCTGAGCTCCAGGTTGCCTTTCCTGAGCTTGTTCTGTGCACTATCTGTCCCCGACTGCTGGAATCTTATCTCCATGAAAGATCTGCGAGTCGTGAGTTTTCTCTGCAAAATTCTGAAACATCTAGCTGAATGTTGGGACAGCTTAGGAGGAACCAAAAACATGTAAGCAGCAAAATAACACCAAGTCAAGTTCCAAGGGCTGAGATTTCTGGACCGACATGAACTTTGTCAGGTTAATCTAAAGTGTGGAAACTAAGTCATACTGCAAATACTTGCCTTGAGACTTATATGAATCTGCTCTCTTTATTCACTTGGATTCAGATAATTTCCAGATAGCACTTTCTTCCACTACTGCATAGGCTCAGCTTGAAGGATTCATTTCCAGAAGAAATTTTAAAAATTCAATCATGACTTCACCATAGGAGAGTTAAAGAGAATCCTTCCCAAGGTTAATGCTAAAGAAGCCCGAAGTTCATTCTACACTGTGGCATTATGGAAATAATCCCAACCTTCTAAATATAGCTTGAGTAGACAAGAGTGCTATTAGAAATCAAAAGTATTACAGAAAACAGAGGAATTACATTTACAAATTGCCATTTGCATTCAGAAAATAAACATCATTGCAAAGATACCCTGTGCATTATTTACATTATTTAAGGCCACTTTTTCCTACTAATGATTTCAGTACCACACAGCAATTTAAAACCTTTCTATCCTGTACTTTGTGAAGACAGTTTTGGTCATTTTCATTTCATGAATGTTAGTGATAATGTCAAAAATCCACCTGAATTAGTTACTATCTGGTTTTTGTTTTATTCCTGTATGTATACTCTCTAATTTTCAGTTTAAAAATAAAAAATATTTGACTCGAGGCAGCCAGTTCAACATCACCAAACTTTTCAAAAAATTGATGCTAATTTACACATTAGGTTCATTGAAAATTCAGTTTATTTTAAGTGTGCTGAAATTATGCATATTTTTCTCCTCTAGAAAGGAGCTTTTTGTATCAAAACACCCTTTAGTAGTATCGACTCTTTTTAAATTTTAGAATAAGGTTGGGGCGCTTGGGTGGCTCAGTTGGTTAAGTGTCTGACTTCAGATCAGGTCATGATCTCACGGTTCGTGGGTTTGAGCCCAGTGTCAGGCTCTGTGGTGACAGCTTGGAGCCTGGAGCCTGCTTCAAATTCTGTGTCTTCCTCTCTCTCTGCCCCTGCCCCATTCATACTCTGTGTCTCTCTCAAAAAATAAATAATAAACATTAAATTTTTTTTAAATCTTGGAGCAGGGTTAATTATATAAGGAGCATATGGGAAATAAGTTTTATTGTTCGGAATTTTTTCCCGATTTTTTTCTAGAATTTGGGACTTCTGAGTTCCTATAAAATGTATTGATCTCCCTTTTTGATATTCTTGTTATTATTATTCCTCTTCATATTAAGTTATTAATTTTCATTCTCTCCAATTTTTACTATAAAGTCAAAAACCACATGTCTAACATTTCTTTAAATATTATGATATGATCCAATGATAAGCTTTTATGACAAAAATGCTGGCATAGAATCAATACCCAAATCTATGCACATCATTTCATTTTCTTCCCAAAAATTACAATAAATTGTAATTTTTTGTACTCTTTTAGTAGAGGTTTGCTATTGGAATAGGACTGGCATTCTTTCAACAGAGATAGAAAAAACAAAAGCTAGTCAAATGTCGGGGATATATTTAATGCTGAGTGCACCACGCACATGCACACACATGCACAAGCACACATACATTAGAAAATCTGAAACCTACGGTTATTTGCTTAGAGCGAAAGATGCTGGAGAACCCTTACTACACATTCATTAATCAGATCTCTGGCAGCAACTCTGAGCTGGTACAATTTGAACTGAATTTTGTTAACTCACTTTGATAACAGGATTAAATAGCTGAATACTGTTTGCTCACCCCAGAAGCGAGTACTTTCATCATTCACAGCTGTTTTAACTCGAAAAATACATAGTGTTTCCAGGCCCTGACTATGTTCTTAAAGACTGTGGAAACATCTATTCTACTGTTTAAAATAACACAGAATAATGCGTTTTCATACATAAGCAATGTAGGGGTGCCTGGGTGGCTCAGTCTGTTAAGCATCCAACTCTTGATTTCAACTTAGGTCATGGTCTCACAGATCATGAGCTTGGGCCCCACCTCAGGCTCTGTACTGACAGCCTGCTTGGGATTCTCTCTCTCTCTCTCTCTCTTTCTCTCTCTCTCTCTCCCCCCCCCCGTCTCTCTCCACCCCTCCCCCACTCATGCTTGCTCACTCTCTCTCTCTCAAAATAAATAAATAAACTTTAAAAAATATATCAGTAATGTAAAAAGACTATCTAATGAAAAACAACGATTTGATTTTAAGAGATTCTGGTGCTCATTGTGAAAAACCCAGAAAGTCATAATTGATGACCATCGTAATGCGATATTTTTGTCTCCATCTTCTTGTCACCACTGTGGTAAACACAAATGCTTTTAAGAAAAAATGTTCTTGGCTTCACAAAATTAATGTAGACTTCTGGTTACAATCCCTGTGGATCTCTAAGGGAGCCAAATAAACAGGTTGGGAAAAGCACAGTCTACTATCTGGGTCTGATTTAAAAAGACACTTCAAAGAATTGATTAGTGTCTTGGTAGTTGAAAGACTGTCTTCCTTTACATAATCCCACAGCTATTTTGGCAAAAAGACAGTAAGCCTCAAGAAGATGGGGGCGTCTCTATCGTTAGAGCCTCCCTCGCCAAACTTAGCTGGTGTGTAGCAGATACTCAATAAATATTTGCTGAATCAAAGTTTCTACACTAAAATAAGGGTGAGAAGTGAAAGACAAGAAAAGATCCAGACAATTAGAAGATGCCGTGAATATTTTTGATGTACTTCACTTTCTCTTTGTTTGAATTCTACTTGATAATTATTGGTAAGGCTAAGTATATAGTGAACATATTCACCAACATGATTATAGGCTACTCATTACCCTGGCCAGGAGTACACCCTGCTCAAAAGGACCAAAGAGATCAATGGACAATGGACACATGGAAACACATCATCGAAGAAATCTGAGCATGGCCGAGATAACTGGCCAAAGCCTAATGGATGAAATGCCTTGCTTGTTCGACTGAAGACATATTACTGAGCCAGCCCACTGCATTAAGACATAAGGCACAGAACTAGAGGTAGAAGATGTTTGGAAATGTACAAAACAATTGGATGCCAATGGGAGCCTACAGATGGGCAGTTAATTTTTCTGAGTCAGAAAATTATACTTGGACCTCCTGTCAGGTAAGCCAGTGAAATCAAGTTTTTTGTTGGTCCTCTAAAAATTGAGCTTTCTTTCCTTCCTTTCTGAATACTCCTTTTCCCAAGGAACATTCTTCTCCTCTTCTCTAAATATTGGCTATGGGACTGTTCTTATTTGTCCAGGTCCCATGCTCCTTGCTGTCTCAGGAAAAAGAAACACACTGTGTTATTTGGGCTTTTACTACCCTTTTACCAAAAGGCAACAAGAGATTTGGAAAATAGCAAGTCAAATCTGGAAAATTTGGAAATTTCAAAGGCTCAGGAAACCCCCTGAAAATAACTGGCATGGGTTTTTATGTGGGCACATCCTTGCTCTAAGCACTTTGCATGGACTGGCACATCCGTTGTCATGGCAACCCCCACAGATAGGTGCTATCATGATTAGTCCTTAAAATACGAACCAAAATTTGCACAGTAGTCATGACATTACCTCTGTTGTAATAATATACAGTAACCCAGGCCTTACTTCTCACAGCGTTTTCTTTGACTCCTTTCTAAAACCTCTGGAAGTTTCTCTGCCAGGAAACCATTCTCTCTTGATTCCTGGAGTTGATGGCATCTTCCCTTCTCATCCCCATGAAATGTTCTCTTAATAAGTTGTAACTTCGCTGTGTGAAATAAGGGGAAATGTCACTCACTCTCGAGCATTGTTCTAATTACTTTACATAATCCTCATAGACAAGGTAGGGAGCATTTCCTCCAGTCCCTTGGAGACAGCGAGACTCAGGGGTGTTAACAGCCTCCCTAAGTCAGAAAGCTGGCACTGGCAGTGAAGGTCTGATCCTACACCGTTTCAGATGTCCATGCTGTCCGCCTTTAGGCCAAGTGAATCATGATCACTGTTGCAGGCCACAAGGAGAAACTGATTAGCAGAGGAGTGGAAGGCAAACTGACCCCCATAAATTCAGAAACTGAAGCCAGTTGTCCAGGGACGAAAGTCCAGAGGCCTGGGCTGAGTAGGAAGAGACAACCGCTCCATGGAAGAACACAGATGTCACAGAGGTCACAGTCCCGATTCAGCAGCACCAGGAGGGCTCAGCGGTGAGCCTTGCACCTGAGAGCCAGGCCTTGGCTGGACGTGGTTGGTAATAGCCCATCGCTTTCCACACCAGTCTTGCAGGTAACTTGGGTGTGCTCCTTCCAGTGCTCCCTCTCTGCCCTTCCCCCAGCCCTGCACTCCCTCCCGGGGCTCCAGAGTCCCAGGGGACATCAGAGGAGGGAAAGAAGCAGACTTTTCACTCCTGGCCCCTCCCCAGCCTTGCCAGTAGCTTCCTCCCCTAGGTGCCAGGTGTCCTTAACGCAACTGGCTGCCGGCAACTTTCCCTCCTCATCTGGGGACAGCCCTGCTGGTTGCTCTCTCCTAGTTCACTCCTGAGGAAGTAGACCTATAGGAATCCTTCCTAAAATGGTCCTCACTGGAGCGTGTCAACCTCTCACGGTGGATTCTGAGACTAAAACACACATATCACTACAAAACCAGTTTGAGGAATATTTTTATTGTAGACTCCTAGTTTAAGAAAGTATAGAAAATATAGGAGATGTATAAAGATTACTTTAAAAATATAGGAAATGGTACTTTTGTTGAAACCTGTATCTATTTAAAATTATTGTTTGAGCCATCAAAGTGATGCATTTGCACAGTAAAACGTCCCATCTTCCGCCCCTGCCCCCCCTCCTTTCTTCACTCCTGGGTATGTTTCATTTAACCATTTCCCTAACCTTTACCTCTAGGTTTCCAGTTTTAGAGATTGTCTAAAATGTCTTTTTTCATTTGTTCAGCCATGGTCTATTGACCTCTGGTTGTGAAGGACAGGATTCAGCCTCAAGCCTGGCCGCCCCTACCTTCCTCCTGTTTTCCTCGCAGTACAAACACATCACAGTGTTTCATCATTCACACTATGTGTAAGTACTGTCATTGACCTGGAAGTATTTTTTCATGGCTGAGCCCATTAGTGTGTTATAAATGCATTTTCTTTCCTATGTAATTTTATTAACTGACTGGTTTTTTTCATCAGCTCGATTTTTCTATATCCCTATTATTGTTCATTCTTAAGCTTCCCAACAGTATCATCTAAACACTCTGAATACAACTTTCCATACAGTCCAGCATATCCAGTAAGTGATCAGTTCATTTTCATTTTCCCAGCAAAGGTCCTGTTCCTGGGCTCCAACAGAGACTGGATACCTCACTGTCCTGCACAGCTCCCTCCCTGGGACTTCCGTTACCTTCTTATCCATGTCCTGTTGATGGGGAAGATCCTTTTCTTTATTGCTCATTGTGTTCGGGAGTCAGGTTAGTGGGAGGAGAGGCTAGATCAACCCAGCAACTAATTTTCTTCAGTTTTGGAGAAAAAACTGCTTTTAAATAAGAAGACTTTTCTCTCTCCTAGAGAAGACTTTTGTTTTAAAGAAATTATTTTGGAGCACCTGGGTGGCTCAGTCGGGTAAGCGTCTGACTTCAGCTCAGGTCATGACCTCCTTGGTCTGTGAGTTCGAGCCCCACATTGGACTCTGTGCTGACAGCTCAGAGCCTGGAGCCTGCTTCAGATTCTGTGTCTCCCTCTCTCTGTGCCTCTCCCCTGCTCACACTCCCTCTTTCTCTCTCAAACATAAATAAACATAAAAAAATTAAAGAAATTATTTTAAGAGCACAGACTACTTTTCCTATTTTTTTAAATCCTTCCTCTCCCAGTTTTCACTGTTTTGCAATCTTATTTTTCATTTCTTCTGGTTTGAGCTTTCTCCACTCTATCTTTTGAATCTTCAGCTGAGTTTTTAGTTTGAGTTCCCACATATTTTATCATCCAGATTTCTTTCTTGTTCCCTCTTTGTTCCTTCCGATATTTTTACGTGAATAAAATATCATCTGTTATTTCTCTGAAAACATTAAGTGTTATTTTACTATTTTATTCTAATGTCATTATTATCATATCCCCACTGAGATCCTTTATTTCTTTCCTATCTTGTTTATTTCTTTTTTTAAATCCTTGACTTTATGACTTTATTGCGCTTACTTCATAATTAAGAATGAGACCCTGAAAAACTGATTGGAACGTCTTCCCGCTGGGCAAGACTTGTAAGGAGTGGGCTTCCTTGAAGATGAGTCAGCTGGGTTGCTGGGGCCTCACACGCCCCTGATCTCAAGCATTTCCTCTGAGGCTGCTCCGTTTCTCCAGAGAAGAGCCCCCCCAAGGTGCCCCTCAGAAGGGAATGCCAGGAGCCAATGGGGGGAGGGGGATGAACGTTTCCCCATGCACCTATGTGACCTCTCAGGTTGCCTGATGTCTTCAATTCATCCCCATCTCTATCCTGTGTTGATCCTGGTGAGGCTGGGCCCCATGCAATTCATTTTCACCAGGGACTAAACTACTATTATGGCAGGAAAGGGTGCCTGTGGAGCAGAGCGGAGGAGGGGAGAATCGAGGACCCGGCTACTACACCCATTCCAGATGCTTCTCCTACTTGGCCCTGGCCATCCTCTCCACCTGGCTCCCCTTCCAAGGTCCTTCCAGAGAGCCTGGGCAGGGCTGGCCTGTCCTCATCAGCACCCCCTCCATGGACCCTCCCAGCTCTTCCTCTGTTCTGCAGGCTCCCCTTTAGTCACCGCCTGTGTGACCACTCGTGACTCATTCTCCTGACGACGAACAGACTAAAAGTGTCCATTCCCTTGGAGTTTGTGAACTTAACACCTTTCTAAGTTTTTAACCTTTATTTTGCTGGTGAAGGAGCCAATTCGTAAAAGTGCGCGTGGTAGGGGCCACCTGGCACCTGATGTGATGTGGGCCAGGGGCGAATGGTCAAGGAAGAATTCTTGAAACGTTTTTTGGGGCGAGAAGGTGTTTCTATTAAAGCACTGGGACAGGACTCCTGGTGGGCAGAAAGAGCTGCACTGGGGTTATGAGTGGTGATTGATTATATACTTTCAAATTGGGAGGGGCAGAGATAAAGAAAGTTTCCGAGAGAATTTTCATATATTAAAGAAGATTCACAGGATCCTGGAGGCCTGGCTATTGTCAAGCTAAGGCTGTTTTTCCCTCTAGGAAAACTTTAGCATTAAGACAGTTGGGAATTCCTGGAGGAATGTTATACTCTGCCTGCCTCAAGTACCTGTGGATGGGCAGCCGAGTTGCAAGGAAATTTAATTTTATCTACATTTCCTTTTGCCTTTGCTCCTCACATCAGCACCCCATCCCCATTGAGCATTGCCCTCATCCAAAGTCTTTTCCTTCCATTTCAGACTTTTCCTTTTTATTTCAGGGGGTGGGGAGAGGATATCTATGACTTCTATCTTCAATTCAAATGGAAATATTGGAATTTAACGTGATTCACATGGAGACATTTTTTGCACAATCTTTTTTTATTATTATTCTCAGGAGTTAAGTCATTATTTTTCCTTTTTTGTTTTATAGAACATTCATAGTGGGGGAAAAACAATCAGGAAGGAAGCTGTGCTTAGCCAAAGGTTAATAGTCAGTATTTGGACTGGACGCATAGGAGAGACTCTGTAGAGCTATTACAAAGGAGACCCGAAAGTTGGCAGTCATGGTAAATAAAACTTTTGTGTTTATGGCTGAATATGAATAACATATTCATGGAATTAAATGGAATGAAAACACTAGAAGCACAAAGCCCAGCGATGACATGTATGATGATGATGTGGTTACTTTCATGTGTCGACTTTACGGAGGTGCCCAGATATTTGCTCATACATAATTCTACCTGTGTTTCTGGATGAGATTCATATTTAAGTTGGTAGACGGGCAAAGCAGTTTGTCCTCACCCATGGGCCTCATCCAATCAAAGAAGGCCTGACTCGAACAAAAGTTACCCTGTCCCAGGTAGAAGGGAGTTCTCCTGCCTGACAGTCTTCACACTGAACATAGGCTCTTCGTGGTCCTGTAGTAGCTTCCAGCCTTTGGACTTGAACTGGGACATCAGCCATTACCTCTGCGTGTTTGGGACTTACCAGCCTCCATAATCATGTGAACCAATCCCATACAATAAATCTCTTTTTATTTATCTATCGATTGATCAATTGACTGATTAATAGATACGTGTGTATACATCTTCTGTTGGTTCTGTTTCTCTGAAGAACGCGGCCTAGTACACATTGTTGGTTTTATATTGACGATCCCCGCCCCCATCCTTGTGTCTGGACCACGGTCACTGAGTCATCTAGCAGACCTGGGATATTATTAACTCCACAAGTGTTGGAGGGTGGGCACACAGTAGGTACTTTGTTCTTCCATTTAGCAAAAATATGTTGCTTACTGCCTGTGTGACAGTCCCGGTTCTGGAGAAATAACATCTACCTAAAGACAGAGGCCCTTCTCTTACGGAGCTTGTGTGTCTTGGGGGACACACAGAGCAAGCATGTCAGGTGGCGATCAACGGAGGAGGAGGCCAGGCTAGGGAGGGGGTCAGGGAAGCCTTACGGATGAGTTGGCATTCCATCAGACTCTAAAAGAAATAAAAGAACCGGGGCACCTGGGTGGCTTAGTCGGTTAAGCGTCCGACTTTCGCTTAGGTCATGATCTCGCAGTTCGTGGGTTCGAGCCCCGCGTCGGGCTCTGTGCTGACTGCCAGCTCAGAGCCTGGAGCCTGTTTCAGTCTGTGACTCCCTCTCTCTCTGGCCCTCCCCTGCTCACGCTGTCTCTCTCTCTCCTAGAAATAAATAAAATAGTAAAAAAATTTAAAAAAAAAAAGAAAAGAAATAAGAGAACCAATCAGGCAAGGGTCAGAAAGGCAGCAAAGACTCTGGCGGGTGCCCAGGCTGTGGGGACCTGTTTGGGATAGTCAAGAAATAAGGAGGAGGCCAAGGTGGCTGAAATGGAGACATCAAGCCTGAGATTGGTAGAGATCATCTGAGCAGCAGCCAGGGGCGAGCTCAGGAAGAACTTGTAGGTCACACGAGTGCTTCGGATCTTGTTCTGAGTAAGAACAGAAAGGCTCTAGAGTGTTTTGAGAAAAAGAGTGAAATTATCTTATCTGGGTCACTCAGGCTCCTGATGAATGTTAGCCTAAAGAAAGGAGGGGACACAAATATTATAATTATTATTATACTATCAATATTATTGTATTATCATTAGGGTTATGGTTATCATTACGTGGAAAACTATAGAAACCTTATTAAAGAAGGCACAAAGAAATGAAAAAGCATCCCATGCTCAATGAGATACTACTCTGCACCTGTCAGAGTGGCAAAAATTAACAACTCAGGAAACAACTGATGTTGACAAGGATGTGGAGAAGGGGGAACCCTTTCGCACTTTGGCGGGAACACAAACTGGTGTGGCCACTCTGGAAATCAGTATGGAGGTTCCTCAAAAAATTAAAAGTAGAACTACCCTACGACCCAGGAACTGCACTACGAGGTATTTATCTAAAGGATAGATAAATCCCTTGTTGGGATGAGCACTGGGTGTCCTATGTAAATTTATGCAAAAATGCTGATTCAAAGGGGCACATGCACCCCAATGTTGATAGCCAAAGTATGGAAAAAGCCCTAATGTCCATCAAAGGATGCATGGATTAAGATGATGTGGCATATATATAAAGGGAATATTACTTAGGGATAAAAAAATGAAATTTTGCCATTTGCAATAACGTGGATGGAACTAGAGTGTATTATGCTAAGTGAAATAAGTCAGTCAGAGAAAGAGAAATATATGATTTCACTCATGTGTGGAATTTAAGGAACAAAACAGATGAACATAAGGGAAGGAGAAATAAGATAAAAACAGAGAGGGAGGCAAACCATAAGAGACTTTTAAATACAACAAACAAAAATGAGGTTTGGTGGAGGGAAGTGGGTGGGGAACGGGCTACATGGGGAACGGGCATTAAGGAGAGCACTTGTTGGGATTAGCACTGGGTGTTGTATGTAAGTGATGAATCACCGAATTCTACTCCTGAAATCATTATTACACTATACGTTAAATAATTTGGATTTTAAATAAATAAATTTTTGTTTTATTTTTTAAAAATAGTTTATTGTCAAGTTGGTTTCCATATAACACCCAGTGCTCATCCCCACAAGTGCCCTCCTCCATGCCCATCACCCTGCATCCCCTCCCCCCCATCAGTCCTCAGTTTTTTCTCAACATTCAAGAATCTCTCATGGTTTGTCTCCCTACCTCTCCCTCCTATTTCTTCCCTTCTTCTTCCCCATGGTCCTCTGTTAAGTTTTTAAAAGCTTATGTTATTATTTTAAAATAAAGCACTACATTTGGCGT